GTCTCTATGGATTTCATGACTTTTTTCGGGGGGTCCGAACTGTCTGTGCGTCTTGTCTTATTTTTGTGACTTTCCGTTTGATTTTCTTGGAACTTGTCCATCATAACGTTTATCGTTTCTAATTTTCTTTTAAGTTCCTTTACGCCGGATTTTATCTCCACTTTTGTGTTTGTATTTCGTATCGCCACATCATGCAGAGCCATTGATACCTTATGTATTTGATCCATAAGCTTTTTTTATCGAATCGAACTTTATTTGTGCCTTCTCCTCTGGTCTTCTCTGCCTTTTAGGGTTTTTTGACCCTTTTGGTGTCTCTTTTTTCCCCTCTTCGTTGCACGATATAGCAAGAAATTCCTGAAGCATCTGTTCAGACGATTTTTCTCTCATCACTTTTATCGGTGGCGAACGGTTTGTAGATAATCTCCTGCTGTGTGCTAAGGCAAGTTCTTCCTCGAATTTCCTTTTCTCCATTTCCTCTATAGGACAGTCGTCCTTAGACGTGACTTTTGTTTGTTCTTGTTTTTCGTTTGTTCTTCCGGCTTCGGGGGGATCCCCCGCGGGCTGGTTGCCCCCGCTTAGTTCTATGTTTGTGTTTGTTCCCATATCCATTGCTATTCGCACGAGTAGGGCAGAATAGAGGTCTGGCGGGGCAGTGTTCCATACCCCGCTAAGGCTTCTTGCTCCGGGGGTTCTCCAGGTGCCCCGGAGGCATCGTTTGCGACCGCGTCCGTGCGGCCACGCGTCCCTTGGCACGATTGCTTCCACCTTAGATTCCGGCTTTTTTACGGCTGGTCTGCTCCATCCTGCTTTTATGTCGGGGTTTTCCTTCCCTTAGCTGATGGGTGTTTTATGGCGCCGGGAACTCGCCATTCGCCCTCCCATTTGAGTGTCGGACTTGCCGGTTTGCTTTTATTAGCTGGGCTGATGTTCTTGAACTGGTACTTATTGGTGTCAACTAGTCGGCGTCAGTGACCCCACCAGTACTTCCCGACCATTTAGAGCTGTTTGTCGGCTTCACTACCCATTCCCGTCCCGGTGGGCGCGATAACAAGTAGCTACTGAACCACTCCACCAACGGTAAGGTCTTACAGCTCCTAGAAGTGGAACCTAACCTGACCTAACCTTTTTTTTTGGGAGGAAAAATGCTTTTACGCACACCCCTGCAGATGTTAGGCAGGGGTAGTGTGGTACTCAGGATGTCAATACCCACTAAAAAAACCCCCCGTTCCATTTGACCCTGTTGAGTACCCTGGGACGAAGATACGTGATATTTTTTCATCGGGGTAATCAGGCCATGTGTTACATGCCTCCCATTTTTTGGAAATCTGTTTCTTCGTCTTCCTTTTTCTTCACAGTTTGACAAATGAACTTAGAGAGGATGTCCCAGTTATGTTGGCTCACTATCATTTTGTTTACGATGTTCTCTGCAGTAGTGATGCCTAACTGTTCCCAGGTCTGGTCTCTTAGTGTGTTTCACTGGATGCATCTGAAAACGGTATATTCCGGTGTATCCTCCTCTCTGCAGTACATGCACTCAGAGTCAATAGATTTTCCAATTTTATGGGTATATTTTCGATAGGAGCCATGTCCGCTTAGGAATTGTGTTAGGAAATAGTTTGTCCCCTGCGGTGCTTGCTGTTATCCATGTTTGTATTTCTGGAATGAGTACCTTGGTCCATTGACTGGTTGTTAGGTTTTCATCCCATCTGCTCTGCCAGGCGTCCATTGTCTTAGCAACTTCTTCTTTTCTATTGATTTCAGTGACTGTGTTGTTATTTTTCTTTACTTCCTGAAGTCTGACTCTTTCATCAATAAGGTTTGATGGGGGGGTATCCCGGCGATTACATTTACGGCTTCATGAGAGATAGTCCTATATGCGCTTGTCACTTTGATTAGCATATGTCGCTGGATGCCTTGGAGCATATCGCCGTATTTTCTTGAGTTCGCCACTCTGTGCCACACGGGGCGCCATATAAGAGGATGGAGTGCACTACATGGCTAAGCGCTTTTCTCTTTTCGCTGCTTAGTCCTCCGATATTTGGCATGAGCTTATTTAGAGCTGCATAGGATTTTTCGGCCTTTTCTGTTGTTTTCCTGATGTGTTCATTGTAGATCAGTTTATCGTCAATATGTATATCAAGGCATCGTACACTTTTTGTGTGATTTATATCGCTGCCGCCGATGTGAAAAGTGATGTGTTCCCTTTTCCTGGGACCTTGGAATATGACAGCCTCTGTCTTCTGGTGTGCCAGGGTTAGGTGGTTTCTGTCCATCCACTCGTTAATTATTCGTAGGGAGTTATTGGCCTTCTCCATGAGTCCTTCCTTCGATCCAGAACGAACAACAAGGGTCAGGTCGTCTGCATAGGCCACCGTATTACAATCTGTGGGGAGATCTAGGTTAAGTACCTCGTCGTACAACACGTTCCAAAGAAGTGGACCCAGTACGGAACCTTATGGGACTCCTTGGGTCATATTTTTGCTAAAGCCGGTGATGTGAATTTGCTCTCTCGGTGAAGAAGCTTCTAACGAGGTTGACTAGCCATTTTGGTGTTTCCTGCTCCTGCAGTCTGTTTAAGACGATGGACCATTTAGTGGTGTTGAAGGCGTTCTTCACGTCAATGCATATCATCACTGCCCATCTATGTTTGGTTATCCTGGTAATCGCTTCTACAGCTTCTACTGTGGATCTTCCATTGCGAAATCCGAACTGGGTGTCTGCGAGGATTATGTGGTTTTCCAGTTTGTTTTTGATCAGGTGCTCAAGAAGCTTTCCCAGGATATCCAGAATGCAGATCGAGTTGTACTTGTTTTCCGCCCCTTGGAGATGAGAGCGACCCTGGCCTTTTCCCACGGTTTAGGGAAGATAGGCTATATCGTTGTAGACATGGAGGAGTGCTTGTGGCATGACGGCGGCCGCGGTTTTGACAGTTTCAACTGTGATCCCATCTGGTCCTGGGGCTTTGTTTGATTTCAGTCTTGCTGAAGCAGCCTTTAGTTCTTCCGGTGTGAACGATTCGTAATCATCTGCTCTGTTCCATGGTTCAGGCATCTCTTGCCAGTCTGGGAACAGCTCCTCTATCAATTCCCTTTTTTTCTGGTTGGGCAGTTCATATTGATTTTGGCCCTTTAGATGCCTGGTTACGATTTGATAGCCCTGGTCCCAGATGTCACCCTCTAGCTCGTTGCACAGCTTCTTCCAGCTTTCCTTCTTAGAGAAGTTTATTTCTTTTTTGTAGAGCCTTCTTGCGTGTTTGTAATTACTCTCTGCCTCTTCAATTTCAACTAAAGTAGCGTTCCTTCTACCCCTTATTCTAGTGAGCATCCTTCTTAGAGAGTTGCACTCTGCCCTTAAGTCTGCGACAGCCTCGTTCCACCAGTAGGGCGTGTTTTGTGGGCACCGGCTTGCACCTCTAATTACGCTAGATGTTTGAGCTGTTCATAGAGTAATTGTAAGGTTCTCGTGGGTATTCCGGCAGTTGTGCTTTAGAAGTTCGAGAGTGTCTTTTAGGATCGTGGTGTCGAATAGTTTCCTGTTATGGTAAACTACCTTCCCTTTTTTCTTGTTGCTGCCGTTCCCTTTGACTTTGAAGGTAATGAACTTGTGGAGGCTTAGGGATTCCTCTAGAGAGACTGCCCAGTTATTACTTGCTCTGTATGAACTTTCGGAGGCTAATGTAATGTCTATAAATGACGCGCTATCTCCTCTAACAAACGTGGGTGTCAATTCATTATTGAGGGCTATCAAGTTGAGCGTGGCCATCCATGTATCGAGGTGGTTTCCCCGTTCGTTTGATTCGCTTGGACTCAATTGCCGTGATTTGATGTTAAAATTATCGTCCTAGGGTTGTTTTCAATCCTAGCGTCTTCCATGATTTGGTTCACCTGGTCTTCATATTCACGTTTGGTGATGTTGGGAGAGATATAGCAGTTATAGAGCGCAGTGCCGTTAATAATCAACTTTATATATCCGATATTGTTGCTAGAGTGCTCCCAGATGCCTACTTTTTTATTGAGCACCAGGACTGCCACGTCCATGTTCATATCTGAGATGAGGCCCATTCTTTTAGTTATTTTTTTATTTGGCTCCTGGAAGAGTATTAAGTCTGTGTTAGACCTGAGAGCTGCGGCTAATGCAACGTTATGTGCCTTTGTGGCACGACCCACGTTAATTTGGATTATTTTAAAGGACATTGAAGGCAAGTTGATGGGCTGGGGCTATTTAGGCTTGTGAAGAAGGTGAGGCGTCTCCTGATGCCTTCAGGTTCTTGGCTGTTGAACAGGCTTCGTTGATTAATTCGCAAATTTCTATATGCTCCTGATCTTCCATGGGGCTGTCTGCTTTTGTATTGGTTGCGTGATTTAAATCGGTGGTTTTGATCTTTTCGACGGGTTTTTCTACTTCTTTGTCTCGAGTGGAATGAGAGGTTGAGTAGTGGGAAGTTTTTTTCCTGTCTTCGATTCTGGCAGACTTAAGCACCGTTTTGAACTCCGGGCATTTTATTGTGCCTGCTCTGTGTCCTGTCTCGTTACATAGGAGGCATGACTTCTCGTTAGTGCAGTCCCTCGCATTGTGTTCGCTCTTGCCGCATCTGTAACAGTTTTTAGAGCGGTCAGGCCCAGTACATTGGTCTGAGTAGTGCTCGTGTGACCAGCACCTTTGGCATTTTGTAATATTGAGCCGCTTCTCTATTCTGCATTTAACGAGTCCGATGCGTAGATAACCTTCCTCCAGGATTTTGTCTGCATGCCTTGGTTGAGGGACAAAGTTTGTAGGATTTACCCCCCTCGCTAATTAACATTCCGTATGTGGTCCTTTCTTTTTCGGCTTCGTTTGTGCTAGCTGTGGTGTAAATAGCAACCCTAGTTTTGGTACTGTGGAACACCGTTTCCGTCATCTTATGCAGGCTTTCGTTCGTGATGCCCCACTATATGGTGAATCACCACCATGTCGTCTGCGGAGGTTTCCTCTTTTATTCTGTGCAGTTTTCCCCATATGTATTAGGCTGTCCCGTCGTGCGTCACCTTGATTATTTTCCTAATGCTTAGTTCTGTTGTTTCCTTGGATCTGATTTTAGTTATCTGCTCTAGGATCTCAAAATCGCCTTGAACGCTGACGAGCTCCGAAAACTTTTCCCTGTACAGGCGTTGAATGCTGCTACTCATTTCTGGGTCGTTAGGTTCTACCAGTACCACCTTGGTGGTATTATCCCCTGTGGTTAGTGGGTTTCCAACTATGACTTCTGTTTTTTTGTACAGTTCTTTGTCCCAAATCATTCCCTCCACTGCAAGTGATTTAAGGGTAGGCTTATATTTCTCGTCGTGCCGTGGTTCGGTTTGAGTTGACGCCTCCGACGTCTCTTTATTTTGGACTTGCGTTTGGGTGTCCACATCAAATGTGATTTTGTCTATAGGCTCAAATTTATGTTCTTCGATCCAACGAGCGACGCTTTATATTTCAAATTCGCGTGTATTTTTCACTAAACTTTTGGTTATCTCTTTAATTTTTAGATGTGTATTTGGGACGAGTTCCAGTAGCTTCTCTAATTTCTTAAAACGAGGGCTCTGTTCCTCTCGATTGCGTCCGTCAGTATAAATACCTCCGGGCTCTCCTTTTGTTTGTATGGGTCTGTAGTAGTCAGTGGGTCGAGTAAGGACGTGTCTATCAATTTTCTTTTTTATGGTATCAGGTAGGGATACGGAGTTGCACATCCTTCCTCCTCCCAATAGGTTTAGTCTGCCGTGTTTCATTGGTTCTTCCTGCTTTATCGTTTCTTTGGTTTCTTTAACCTCTATGTTTGGTCTTCCAGCTTTGGAGGAATCCTCCGCGGGCTGGTCGTCCCCGCACAAATCTTTGTATTTCGTAGTGTTATTCATGTTAGTTCCCACGAGTTGGGCAGAAATATACAGTCCGGCGGGGCAGTACTCCCATACCCCGCTAAGGCTTCGTACTCCGGGAGTTCGCCTGATTCCCGGAGGCATCGCTCGCGGCCGCGTCCGTGCGGCCACGAATCCTTCGGAACGATGGCTTCCACCTTGGATTCCGGCTTTTTTACGGCTGGTATGCTCCATCCTGGTTTTCTGTTAGGGTTTTCCTTCCCTTAGCCAACGTGGGCCCCGTTTTATGGCGCCGGGAGCTCGCCATTCGCCCTCCCATTTCAGGGTCGGACTTGCCGGTTTGCTTTCGCTAGCTGGGTTGATGTTCTTGAACTGGTATTTGTTGCTGTCACCTATTTGGCATTAGTGACCCCTCCAGCGCCCCACCGACGATTTTGAGCTGTTTGTCGGCTTCACTATCCATTCCCGTCACTTTAAGGCTCTGGAACAGGGAGCTACTGAACCACTCCACCAACGGTAAGGTCTTACAGCTCCAAGGAGTGGAACCTAACCTAATCTAACCTAACATAACCTAACCTAACCTAACCTAACCTAACCTAACCTAACCTAACCTAACCTAACCTAACCTAACCTAACCTAACCTAACCTAACCTAACCTAACCTAACCTAACCTAACCTAACCTAACCTAACCTAACCTAACCTAACCTAACCTAACCTAACCTAACCTAACCTAACCTAACCTAACCTAACCTAATCTAATCTAATCTAACCTAATCTAATCTAATCTAATCTAATCTAACCTAACCTAATCTAATCTAACCTTACCTTACCTAACCTAACCTTACATTATAGGTAATTTTTTGGTAAATAAAAAAAGGCAAAGTATAAATAATTATTGTGAATTATCTTTTGGGAGATGGTGACTTGTTTAAAAAATAGGTTAGAGGAGGATACTGTTAAGGACTAATATATGTAAATTGTCCTAACCTAAACTAACCTAACCTAATCTAATCTAACCTAACCTAATCTAATCTAATCTAATCTAATCTAACCTAACCTTACTTAACCTAACCTTACTTAACCTAACCTAACCTAACCTAACCCAACCTAACCTAACCTAACCTAACCTAACCTTACATTATAGGTAATTTTTTGGTAAATAAAAAAAGGCAAAGTATAAATAATTATTGTGAATTATCTTTTGGGAGATGGTGAAATAGGTTAGAGGAGGATACTGTTAAGGTCTAATATATGTAAATTAGAAACATAGATTTTTTTATTAAATCCATTTTTTTCCATTTTTTTTTTAGACCAGCATTTTTTCAAACAGCTAAAAAGACTAAGTATTCACCTGTTACCGATAGCGAAGAACCATTTATATCGATTTATGATAGATGTGCCAAGTATTCTTTCACGTTTGTTATTGTTATACTTGCGGTAGGTTTTAATATATTTAATTTTAAACTATGAGAGCTATGCTGAATTGTTTTAAATATTTATAATAAACTCCCCTATGTAGGAAATAATCTCTTATATCATATTAAATAACAAACAAAAGGCACCCTACCAACTTTATTAGAAATTTTAAGCAATTGTAGGAAACAGATACTGAGGTTGTAAACGAAATCATCGAGGAAATAACCAGTGTGGATTTAGAAATAATCTCTTCACATATATCAATTAACTCATCCTTGGAGACAGTATAACGTCTTTCTAAAACATCTAAAACATAATTTTTAATTCAACTTATATTGGGCTCAAATGCTAAAATTTTGACCGTATGATTTCTGCACTTATCTGTTTTTTTAATCAAAATACAATTTTTGTAGAAAAATACGGTACGTATTAGTACTTTGTTTTCTACTTTAAGGTATGTATATTTTTGTTATTTATAATTATAAATGGAAATTATTTCAACAAAAGTTGTTTGTCTGTAATTTTGGCTAAATAAAAAAATTATCTAAAATGGACAATGCTTTTTTTGGAAGTTTATTAAAGTTAGGAGGTTCAGTAATAGTCCTCATCTGAATACAAAAAGTAAAACGTCATATTTTTTGCTTACTATTTGTAGTTGGGTACAGGAGAGGGAGGATGAACATGTACTACGTCCTGATGGCGAGAGCTGTCGTTTAACCTGTCAAATTCAAAGTAAAATTGCTTATCGATGGGTTTTTCGTTTTCTGCTAGCAAAGAAATAATATGCTTCTGTACGTCTAAAATAATAAAAAAAACCCTTTGCCAACGTTTTCTGTCGTCCGGTTTTACTACTTCCGGTATAAGAATTTCGGCCACTTGAAATAGGTGTAAAATTGATAACAAAAATCGAAAAGTAGTATAATTGTTCTCAAAATGTTTGTACGACTCTCAACTAAGATTATTGCTATTGCAAGCATTTTTTATTCAATAGCATATTATTTAATTGACAGCAAGAACGAAAAAATCCATCGATAAGCAAATTTACTTTGAATTTGTTAGATTACACGACAGCTCCGATCACCAGAACATAGTACATGTTGATCACCCTCCTCCATGTACCCAACTACAAATAGCAAGCAAAAAACACGACATGCCACTTTTTGCAGTCAGAATCAAGTTTCATATATGTCTAGCCGAATGGGAATTTGCCTAAGCCAAAAAAAGTTTCTTTATAAATATTAGGGAAGTATCTGACAAATAATCATTGTAGGAGAGGTCCCTTATTATTAAAATATAGACTTTGATCATATGTCAGTCAAAGGCTTGGAATCAGCATTTCGCAGGCTCTGGGGCCCCTCAGTGCTCCAATTTTGATTTTTCTTCCTCTCTTAATATTTGTCAATGATCTTCCTCTGTTAGAATTTCTAAAACGCAAGCCTTGGGACTTTACAGACATATACTCATTTAATTTTTTTTTTCTCTCTCGTTCATAGCAAATTAAAATATGTATCCACTGTATGGGACCCTACACAACAAAATTTAAAAAAAATTATCAAATATTTATACTTTAAAAATAGTACTCGTATTGTACGAGTCCAGAAGTTGTCTCAATTTGACCTATTAGAAAATAGTTTAAAATTGAAAAATTAGAACATAGGCGCTCTCATCAATCTTGTTTTTCTAGGTAAATTGTTAAATGGATATTTATTGAGTCAACTAAAAATTAACGTTATAATAATAGGTATTCGCCCGGTCAATTCAATTTTCGTGCGGATACTCATGGTCCATTAGAAGAAAATTAGTATTTTTGATGCAGCTAGAGCGCATATAGGGGAACTTTTAAAAGTTGTTGGCCCCGACCAAAGTGATATGATTTGGTAGGATTTCCGTGGTATTGGTTTGAGGTTTTCTAGAACTTTGACTATTTCTAATTTAGTATTTTTGTTCTTCTATGAACTTTGTTAAAAACTATGTTAAAAACTTTGTTACTTCTACTGCGATGTTTATTTATTATTTATTATAACTTCAATTTAGTGTTTTAATTCTATATTAAGTATTTTATTTCATTTCTATTATTGTCGTATTTATAGAAAAATGTAATTAGGCTCATGTCTGTTTGTGTCTGAAGTAAATAGATAACAAAAATGGCGGCTGTATTCTCGACTAACTTTGGTTAATAACTTGCTTAATGAATTTTCAATTTTATTTTACTATTTCATAAAATATATTTACAAAATTATTGAATATTAATTATACAACACATGAGCAATAACTTATTTGGTCCTATGATTACTAAACGTCAAACCCACAGATTGAGACACATTATAATACTGTGACGCTGTGGGTACCTATGCACAGCATTAATTAAATAGAATTATTAATATTTCAATTACAGGTTTACGGCCGGTTGCAACAACGTTCATTAAAATTTATGGATCCGATAAGCTTTAACAGATCTTGATAATGTGATTGTCTTAATAATATTAACTTCAAATTACGAACAATCTAATAAGAGTTATGAAATCATTAGCTATTTATAGATTTCATAGGTACTCTTGCAATGGTATGTTATTGTCTCAAAATATTATTTTTCTAAATAACAGCGTAACAATGATTACCTACTATAATACAACAGAGTGTTAAAGTTACAATGTTAATGAAATATTTCCATAATTTTCATAAGTAATATTTTAGGAAATACACAGTTATTAAAATCACTCTGATCCACCTAACTAACTCTAATTTGTGTTTCAAATCTATGTAGAGAAAACCTTGTATGTACCTATCTTAAAAATGGTTTAACCCTTTCGGTCATACTGTATTCAATTGTATACATCGACTTTTTTATTTTTCCTAAATAAACTCAAGAGTTGTACATCTATCTCTTAATATTCTATGGTATAGTACACCTATAGATATTTGATTTAGCACATGTAGCGACATCTACATATTATATGGCGAACGTTATAAATATTTGTAAATGTCAGATCAGATGTGATTTAGGAGACACGTTGCAGAGTAATTTTTAATTGCCTAATCGAGGAAGTTCTGTGAATCACTGTGACTTTATATATTGTGGAATAAGGTTAAAAAACATTGCATTTTTACCTGATAAATTTATTTGATAGGTATTTTTTGTGATTTCTCCATAAACATTTTTAGAAAAGTGCTGTATTCAAATGAATACATTGTGACTCAAAGGACCGATTAGAGATGGTAAGCATATTTGTTTTTTTTTTTATTTTCTTTATTGATTTGGTATTTTTATTGAAGGCTTCAAAATTCAATAAAAGAAAGCCTTTGACTAACGAAGAGCTGCTGGATCTCATTGAAAATGGGTTGTCAGACATCGAATTTTTAAGCGATGATGACGATGAAGTAGAAGGGGTGGGAGCCGATATTTTTGACGAAAGTGAGGATGAAGGGCTGGAAGTTGGGCAAATGGCTTCAGAACCCCTTTCCGAGGAAGTTGATGAAACAATAGTCGAAATGGATCCAGATACTGAAGTTGCAGCTCTTGAAGGAAATATTGATGTTCCAATGTATGACGCAACTGAGCAAATGGAACTACCCAGAGAGAGAAAACAGAAAGAAAAAAAAGAAAAAGAAGCAAGGATTGAAGTTTTTATGAAAAACAATAATTTGACGAAAAAGACAGATATAATTTGGATAAAGGATGCTACTTATATTTCTCCAAATGTCGATTGGTATGAAAAAAATATTCCATGTGATTCGGATGAACTAGAAAGTCCTTATTATTTTTTTGAAAAATATTTTTCTGATGCTTTATTTTCACTTATTATTGAAAACACAAATTTATTTGCGCTTCAGCAACAAACTAAATTTGCTCCCACAAATATAGATGAAATCAAAACTTTTGTAGGGATACACATAGTAATGGGTAATTGTCATTTTCCAAGAATAAGATGTTACTGGCAACCAAATTGCAGCATTCCTATAATTTCAAACTCTATGCCTATAAACCGTTTTTTCAAATTACGACAGCATACTCATTTTGTGAATGTTGAGGAAAAACCAGACAACAATGACAGATTATGGAAGATAAGGCCATTGTATGATGCTATTAGACAGAGATGCCTTTCCCTACCTTTAGAAACTGATCTCTGTATCGATGAGCAGATGATTCCCTTCAAAGGAAGCCTAAATATAAAACAATATATCAAAAATAAGCCCACCAAATGGGGTATAAAGGTACTAGCCCTATGTGGACGAAGTGGAATATTGTACGATTTTGTAATTTACCAAGGTGTAACGACAGAATTTATTCCCGAGCACATCGAAGTTTTTGGTTCATCTGGTGCAATTGTGACGACATTGGCACAGCGTATCATCAATCCCAATGTTCGTTTATATTTTGACAATTTCTTCAGCAATTATAACGTATTACAATATTTAAGAAACAAATCTATATATGCCTATTGTACCGCTCGTATTGACAGATTTAAGTCTCCGCCATTTTCATCTGATAAAATTATGAAAAAAAAGAGGCGCGGTTCTTTTGAGGAAGTCATAAGCAAAGATGGTATAATTATGACTAAATGGTTTGACAACAAAAGCGTGATACTTGCTTCAAATTATAGAGGTGTGGGAATGCCAGATACCTGCGTACGTTGGGACAAATCAGAGAAACAATATAAAGATGTTCCACGACCGGAAGTGGTAAAAGAATATAACGATTGCATGGGCATAGTCGATAAATTAGATTTTCTTATCACATTATACCGGACGTTTATAAGATCACGAAAATGGACTATGCGTATGTTTACTCATGCAATAGATATCGCCTGTGCAAATGCTTGGCTGGAGTACAAAGAGCAAGCCAGTCGTTTAGGTATTTCTAAAAAAGATGTTCTGGATCTTCTTGGTTTTAGGGCTTACGTTGCAGAAGTACTAATAAAAGCCAATAAAACACCAGCAAGGAAAAAGGGACGTCCATCATCTGCTACCTCCAACCCACCAAGTCCCGCTCCCCCCTCTCCATCGACTTCTAGAGCTACCGAAATAAGACCAGTTTCGGAAATTCAGTTTGACCAACTTGGTCATTTTCCCAATTTTGATTCAAAAAAATTTGCATCTAGATGTAAAAATCTAGATTGTAAGGGACAAACTCGAGTAATTTGTATTAAATGCCAAGTACACTTATGTTTAAATAAGGAAAAAAACTGTTTTCTGAGTTTCCATGTCAAATAAATGTGATATAAAATAAAATCTAAAAAAAAAACAGTATTTTTTGCACCAACCTCTTATACCTTTAAGTCACAATGTATTCAATTGAATACATGCTATAACTCGGAAACCTGTAATATATATATTTTTTTCTTTTTACCAAAAATCAATAAAAAAATCATTCTTTTATAGTGCCAAAAATCAGATTTTTCCTATGGCTAGAAAAAATGCGTGACTGAAAGGGCTAAAACATGTATGTATATAAAATAAAATCAAATAAAACTCAAAGTCATGTGTCACAATAATACGAGCAGCCATTTCTTCTTGGAAACAACTACTTCTTTGGCTAATACCCAGTGGCGTATCCAGAGTTTAATTCTAGGTGATAATGTTAATATTTAAGACTTTATTTCAGTATCTATAGGTAAATTTAGATTTAAAAATTCTTGGGGGTAATTGCCCCCCCCCTTCCCGTATATGCGCTCCTGCTAATACCTCACCAGGTATTGAATTACATCAAAAGAAAAAAACGGAGGTAGAAAATATTTTCAACACTTACGCTTAAGAAAAAAGTAATCGGACTGGTTTCGTCCTTATTAGAACTCATCAGGAAGAGTTAGACAATCTCGACTTCAGTCTTTAATGGATTGTGCCGGCAATACAAAATTCGCCTGTATACATTAACAGAGGTTGAGAGTTTGAATATTCAACGAACGAAAATGGTAAGCAAAATCAAAGGTTACTGCAGTACCTAGTTAAGAGACTAGCCAGGCGGGGTATTTTTAAAAACGTATGTTTGAAAAAGGGATACTTTCGAATGATACTTCTAGATGGTGCTTTACTCGTGCGTCAGATTATATTTAGTGTGACATCTACAAACTTTTGATGCGGCGCCCACGAAATAAGGATTCGGGTAGCATCAGATGGAGATACAGAAGATTCCAGGAGTCAAATTTCCTTGACTAAACTTACCGAAGATAAAAATAATAGACTTTAATTGCTGTGACTGCTGTATGGAACTTCTTTTGGAAAGCGGAAATAGTTTGAAATTTTCTGAATTCAAATAATAATTATAAGCGCGTTAGTTTAACATTTACAGGTCTGTTATTAAATATACTATTCACATTAAATAGTTATATTGTATTTCACTTCCACACGTTTCAAGCCTTTTAGAACCAAAATAATAAGAATTCAACAGAACTATCTGCGATTGGTAGCTTCGGTTGCACGGGACTTAATCAGATGAATGTTATATATTTTTGGTTTAAACATAAAATATTAATGATTTAAGTAGTTTGAGAATGGGTAATGCTATACGGCAGATTAATTAATTAATTTATTTATTAACCCTTAGTTTATTAAGTAGGTATCATATAATTTTATGTCAATTGTTATGTTGGGTTCTTTTGGTAATAAAGAGTCTATCGATTGATTAGGAGTTTATTAATACACTTAACTATCAATCTTAACTGGATGTACAAACATATCTTATATCTAGCTCTCGAGTCTCTTTCGTTACAACCTAACCTTAGTCTAGCGTCTCCCTGGAGGATCGCAATCCTGGGTTGCCACGTCTTACATCAAATCCTGACCGAACAGGCTATCAACACATTGCCTGTCGAGATTCCTAAACGGAAAGTTGAAGTGCTAGTTCTAGCCAAACGACGTTCGGGTTCTTTCTCAAATCTACAAATATCTCCAATGCAGCATCGGTGTATATGAGAAATGCATTTTGATGCATACTGAGCCCATCTCTTCGTCTGCGTGAGTTTAGTTTTCAATATATCGTAGATTGCAAATTGAAATCCGAAAGGTGAGATGGTCCGGGAAGGTCTAAATAATTCGTAGGGGGATTTTTGAGATTTGTTTCCGAATTTTCAAATTATTTCAAATAATTCTGACATTTCGGATTACGATTTGCGATCTACGATATATTAAATTTACAATTTCCATATTTTAATAATGAGATGAAAACCCAAAATTAATCCGACAAACAATTTATTAATTAAATTTAAACTGCAACGGCCTAAAGGCCATCATTATGACTAAACGTAAGAAAAATAGATTAGATACATTTAACAGAGGATTTTAATGTTAACGAACTCAAAAAATAATAAATGTCTAATATGGTTATACACAAATTCATCAATAAAGAACAGCAAGTCAAAAAAAAAACAAGAATAAAAATAGTTAAATATTAATTATTTTTGGGCAAATTCTACAATCAAAAAATTATTATCGAACATATTTCTTTCAATTAGTTAAGCATAAGTATTGCCCATGTCTAGTCTTAAAATTAAAAAATAATAAAATGATTTATCATCTCAAGAAACATATGCTTAAAACTTTTTAAGTGAATACATAAAATAATGATAAAAATAAAAATATGAATATTTTGAAGCACTAAACATGTTAAAATATAGACTCTTCTTTATGAATGAACAAAGAAGCTAGATTAAATTTTATGTCTACTTCACATTTACATTCAGCATGGCTCTCTTTTATTATGAAGGCAATTAATGTAATTAAGAATACTCATTTGAATAAAATAATTTCTATAAATTATATCGTATAAAACAATAGGAAACATTCAAAAATACTAACAAATTTTGTTATTTTTTCTAGCTACTTCTAGTTCTTCTTGCTGTAGTTGGAGTTATGATATACCGGATTACTGTAAACACAATTTTATTATCAAGAAAGCAAACAGAAATAATTACAAAAAATAGACAAATAATAGCGTCATCTACAGGTGCATTAATGTCAGCTTCTTTCATTATCGCTTTTAAACAGGTAATTAACGAAGATAATATGTATGATCTGATCTATACAGTTTGTGGCACAAAATTGATCGAAAAACATATGATCGAATTGGAAATTTGTTCGAAAATACATTCTATCAAATAACATTTGATCGAAAATATATTTTTTCTACGATCACTATCCAAAGTGATAATAGCTTTGCCGATCGCCGAGCGGAAAACTTGACAGCTCTGTCGCTCGCCTAATTTAAATTAGATACAATAGAATATTTCTTTTTAATAAATGATTTTAAACTTATTTGTACCTAGTTTGATGTTTTGTCTTTTATTATCCAAGTAGATATAGACAACACATTATATACTACTTATGACAAATTTTCAGTTTTTACATCTAGTTCTTAAAATAATGAGTTCGTAGAAAAAATCTTGTGTGCATTTTGAGCGAAAAGTTCCTTACCGCCTTCGACAAATTACCGCGCTCCGCTACGCGGCAAAGTATCACTTTTCGCTCTTAATACACAAATAGCTATTATCGAAGATATATTTTATCGAATAACATTTTATCGAAAAGACAACAGATCTATTCATTAGATCGAAACGACAATACATCTAAAATCATCATTAACAATGATAAAATATAAAAAAAATCAAACGACACCATGCAACCCTATTACCGGTAAAACTAAAATTATAGACTATCGTCAAATTAGATATTAATGTCAAATTTTTCGATAGTCTCAAACGAAGTTGCCTCATTTAACAAATTGTATCCATACAATACTGTTAATTTAAAAATTAATATTTTTAGAGCTAAACGATTATTTATCGTCATTGAGACTAAAGCATTGTGATTAGTGGCGGCTCGTGGGCACTGGCGGTTGTGGGGCACACACTGGGAAGGAATCTCGAGATTCGTTTTTCCCTTAGGAAAACAAGTTCTCCGCTTAGTGAAAATAATAGTATATTATGCAACGATCATGTAATGATGGTTATTAATACACGAGCATTAACCGGGATACGAAACGAGCCAAAGGCGAGTTTCGTATGGTTTATGCGAGTGTTTTAATAACCATTACATGAGAGTTGCATACGCTATTTTTTCTACACCCGATAAATAATCAAGACCTATAAATATTCTATTTATATTGGCATTGAACACAATAACAGTAATTACTCGTACTTCTATAAAAAATTCTACAAAATTGTAATTAATGGTATTACCTTGGGTATTGGTATTACCACAGATTTTTGGGGCAAAATATTTTGTACTGCATTTTCTCCTTTCTCCGATATGTGTGGAGGAGGAGTCTTCTATATCGCTGATATCAGACATTTTAATATTATAATTATCGAAGTTTAGCTATCTACGAAAATTTAATACGTTTTGACAACTAAAACAATTACATAGGAATTTAGGACAAACGTCAAACATCATGCTTGATTGAAAAATTGTAGGTTTCTATTAATTAAAAATCTGTATCATAATGAAAAATCTGTATCATAATGGGTATCATTATGAAACGGATTATGGGCATATAAGTGCATTATTATAATACGGATGTAGAAAAAATATATTTCAGAACATATTAAATATTACAAAATTGAAGACTTATTGCTTGGAACCGCTGCAGTTGTATACTATTTCTTATAGTTAAAGTCCATTGTTCTGGATTGTTGGCTAGGCGAAGTGATTGATGACCAGATTATTAAAATTTGGAATTGCTAACGCGCACAATCTATCTTGGCACATAGTGTTTCTTAAAAATGTTTTATACGTTTTAGTGTCGAAAAACATCTTTCACTCTCCACTGTGTTCATGGAACACAGAATAGTTAGCAGCTCCACAGATTCCGAAAATGTAATGGTGAATTTCCTGACTTTTGGAAACTCTCTTATGTTACTCCCATTTACAAATCGGGTAACAAATCTATAGTAATAAATTATCGCCCCATTTCCATCCTAAGCATAATCCCAAAAATCTTTGAAAGTATAATAACTGATTTTCTAACTCACGACTGCTCCAATATCTTAAATTCCCAGGCCTTTGATAAGGTGAACCATGATCTTCTCGTTCATAAGCTAAATTTATATGGTATTGATGGGATTGTTTTACAGTGGCTCGGTAGTTATCTAATAGGACTCAACAGGTTCGAGTAAATCATCATTATTCCCAAATTTTCCCAGTTACTTCAGGTGTCCCGCAAGGGTCTCACTTAGGACCGCTACTATTCAACCTGTTTATTAATGACATCACAACTTGCTTTCCTAACACTAAAGCCCTATTGTTTGCATATGACTTGAAATGCTTCAAGATCATTCATGATTATGCCGACACTCAGATTTTGCAGTAGGATTTAAATAAACTAGAAAGTTGGTGCTCTAGTAATGGCATTGATCTAAATACTAACAAATGTCACCTTATCCGATTTTGTCGCAACCATTATTTAATAACTTATAATTATAGTTTATTTCAACATGTTTTGGACCCTGTTGATTAAATCAAGGATCTAGGGATCACCTTTGACTCTTCCATGAGCTTTAATGGCCATATCACTGCTACAGTTCAAAAATCAATATAAATGCTGGGCTTTGTCAAGAGGACAACTCATGAATTCACTAATATAAACACAATTAAAATGCTATACTTCTCTTTAGTTAGGACACACATTGATTACTGCTCCTCAGTCTGGTTCCCACACTACTTAATTCATAAAAGTAAACTCGATGGAGTTCAAAATATTTATCTTAGATACATAGCATTTAAGTTTAACATTTACTACAATTATGCGGAATTGCAACAATATTTAAGCATACCTTCTCTGGAAGTTCGTAGGAAACGAAAAGATCTTACCATACTGTCCAATATTATCAATGGCAGGTGTAATTGCCCCGACCTCCTTTCCAGAATTAATCTTTTTGTGCCGTCAGGTACTACTAGACAAATTCAAACATTCCATGTACCTTTTCACCGTTACAATTACGCGTTTAATACTTTTATTTCTAGAACACTTAGACTAGCTAACTCTCTTCATGATATTCAACTTTTTAACAGTTCTGTTCAAGGATTTAAGAACCACTTACTTACACTGAATATTTGAACGTCTCAAGCAATTCCATACTTTTCATTTATACACATTATAATTTATTTGCTGTTCTGTACATTAATGTCCACTGTTTTATCTAACAATTTTATTCTATATTTTACTTAATTTTTATGATATCACTATTATATTTTATTGTATTTTTTATTTTATATTGTATTTTATTGTATGTAAACTGAATTGGGCTTTGCCCGTAAATAAATAAATAAATAAATAAATAAATAAATAAATTGTTCTTAAAAAATATTTGTAATAACGGTACGGCTCCATTGTGTTACACAAAGTCATCTCGAGTGTAAAGTATGGACAGTTCGGTTTTTAATTTTAAGCTGTTTACGATTGGAAATGAACTACACACACTTTTAACGTCCTCATTTGGCAAACAACCTCGGTAGTCTTTAAATTTTTCACTATCAAATAAACTTGTAATTGTTAGGTGAGTAGTAAAACTAAAACGTTCATTTACCTACACTACTATTGTATTACAAATTTCTTTATATATATCCTTAAATTAGGAGTGGGATGCATTTTTCAACAAACCGTCTGTTCTTGCTTGTACTTGGACCTGATTGGGTGTTGTCGTTTAAGTTTAGTTCTTGTTGGTCTTGTTGTAATTGCCATTATATTACGCCTCGTTTCCGTAAAAAAGAATAATATGTAGTATCCTCGCTATGCGTTGAGTCTCACACATTTTTAAAGCAAATAAACAAGTTCTCTGCCTTCCTCCCAGGTCCCTGCGCCTAATTACTTCAGTCTTTGTTTGTGTGTCGAGTCGATCATATCGCTGTCGTTAAAAATTTTTAAATTAAAAGTGATGCCGAAGCACGGTAAAAAACGACGACATGACCGGTCTCGGAGTCGTAGTTCTTGAAGAGGCCGATCTCCATCCCGAGAAAATAAATGGTTGGAGAAAAGATTAGCAGATTTACAAAAACAATTAAATGAATTAAATGCTTCCGCACCAGACCGCATTGTTGCGAACAAAGAAACTTTTGAAAGTGTGGCGTCATCGATAGATTATGACGATGTTTTATCGCCTCTCCATTCAATACAGGGTGTGTATGATTCAGGTAATTTTTAAATTTCATTAATAGCTTTGATAAATAGCTATAATAATTAAATTAGTTGTTTTTTAATAAAAGTTGTTTTTGGTAACAACTATAAAATGTTTAAAATACTGGTTGTTTTTGGTAACAACTATAAAATGTATAAATACTGGTTGTTTTTGGTAACAACCCTAACATATTTGTTAAAACTGGTTGTTTTTGGCAACAACCTTGTGTTACCATTATATTATGGTATTTTTTGTTCTTTGAAACAACTTAGATGTTTTATTGAAAAACATTTAAAATCCCTACTTTTAAATTGAAAATCTAGGAATATTCGTTTTTTTTAGATATTTTTGAAGCGGATGAGAATAAAGAAAACCCCACTCAGGTAAATACTTCTTCAGAAATAATTGAACCAGCATTGGGAAATGATCTCCTTCAAATATTAGGTACTGAGCCAGAACAAAATACTAAAACTGGTCCGCCGTTGCATACTGCTATTGCAAGTCGCTGGAGTGCCTTAATAAAAAATGGTCAAGCTATTTCTTTTTTGTTGGTTAAAGAAGGAGAGGGGCAAAAATGTATAGAGCTGCTTAGCGATGCTGGACGCCTATTGTGTGACTTAAGTCATTCTGAGACAACTATAAGAAGAGACCTAATTTCTATAAACCTTAACAAAGATTTAAAACAAACACTCTCAAGTGCTCCTAAGTACCTATTTGGAGTAACACTAGAAGAGCGCCTTAAAACGGCAAAGAATTTGGAAAAGTCATCCCTTGATCTAAAACCAACTAAACCCCAAACAACAAAGAAGCACTTGCAGCCTTTAAACTCCAAACGTCCAATTCGAACTGCCAAGGGAGCACGGATTGGAACACAGT